TTAGTACCGTAAGTGTGAAATGACGATTTTGCCCTTAGTGGTTATGTTTCATTTTGGGGTGTTTGTTTTGTGGGCTTGTTGGCTGCATCTGGACCACACACACACTCTTATTCCTATCTCCTTCCCGTATACCTTCCCTGTCCTGTGTGTGTGTCTCTCTCTCATTCTTCTTCTTCGTACGGACAAGTACCAAAACCCTTGCAAACGTTGCAGATCGAGGTGGAAAGTTATATCTTTGTGTTCGTGATGATCATACGAGTTTAACCATACCCATTTTAGGTAAAGAATCATTCGATTTCACGTCGAACCAGGGAACCTCGATTTTGGTCATTGTTCATGCATACATGAAATGTTGTTTTTCAGGGAATTTGAAGCTTATAGGACGCTTAGTAAGGTCCTTAGGAAGCTCAGGGTGGTTCGTTGGAAGGTTTTGGACGTCGGGGTTGTGAGTTGCAGGTTTGGCTGGATTTTGTGAAGTTTCTCCAGCGTGATTCCATGAATTTCAAGGCTTGAAAGTGGTAAGGTTTTGTTCTACTTGTTGTAAGCTTCGTTTTGGTACCAATTTTATAGAATTTGGTTGAAAATCGAGTGAGAAAAGAAGGTTTGAAGTTTTTCCGGTTTTCCGGCGACGGCGACTGCACCGGAGATGTGCCGGAAAAGAAGACGGAATATTCCGTCAGCTTGGACGAAATATTCTTAACGGCGTTAGGTTAACTTTAACGGAATCTGTTAGTTTTAACGGAATATTCTTGACGGCGTTAACTGACGTTGTCAGTGCGCCTAGCATGTGGCCACGCGTGGGCGGCGCGTGGCGGCGCATAGGGTGGTCAAAAAATTATTTTAAAAATATGGGGATGTTGGTGAGGTTGAGTAGATCATATTGGTGTATTCATACACCCCATTTGAGTATTATATGAGAAGTTATTACCTAGTTTTGGTTATGTGCTTTAAATTGACGTTTTTATAGTTGTTTCGTATATAGGTAAGACCTATCCTGATGACGAGCGCAGTCACTCGAGACAAGGGGGTTACGACCCTTCCACATACCAGTGAGTGGGCTTTTGGTTTTCCATATATACCTATATACTGTGGTTTTTCCCAGAAAATGAAATGGAATGTTTATATGTTTTAAATGTCATGCATAGCGTTTGCCTATTTATTTATGCATTAGTAGTTGCATATATGTATATTTGGTGTTGCGGACGCATAGGTAAGTGCCAGGTAAGTTATGGTTTATGATTGTAATTAGTAGTTATGTGAGATACGTACAGAGTTCATAACCTGCACCCCCGGTGCTAGTGCTCTCGCCCAGAGTAGGGCACAGTCATTCACGTGATGTTCACCTCCCGCACCACACGTTTATCTTGGATCCAAGTTAAGTGCACAGTCCTGTCGTACAGACCACTATAGGTGGTTCCGACTCGTAGGTGACCCGCGATTATTTGCCCAGTCTTCACGTGATCGTAGCACTTGAGCATATTTATTTACACCCAGTCCTGTCGTACAAACCACTTTAGCTGGTTTCGACTCGTGTGCAGGTATAGTTAGTGAGTTGGGAATTTGAGCTCTAAATTCAACCGTACAGGTCACGTTAGGTGACTCCGGCTGACATGTTAGTTGCATTGTTTGACATTACCTGGGTTACTTACATTTTATATGGAGGCATTCGACATGGCATATTTCTGAGCATGTTTTCTATATATGTGTATATTCTATTTTCTGGGAAACTATACAGGTTTTACGGCGAGGGGTTAGAACTTTTGATAATGAAATGATTTTGAAAAGCTTTGTTTTTGCCCACTCACACTTTCTGTTTTGCACCCCTCCAGTTTGGATTGCTCTTTTGGTGGCTCACAAGGAATTCACGGCATATCTGACAGATTATCACCAGTGTAGGACCCCTTTGGGTGTGTTTAGTTAGTATTTGTTCCTCTGGACTGCACTAGGCTTTCTGTGCTCTGAATATTGTTTTTCACACTTACGCTTACACATGTATGTTAACTACTCTGTGTGTAGTTTGATTTTTATTTGTTCGTACTTTTATTATTATTCTTAGCTTCCGCACTATGCACATTGGTCACGTCACCCTCACGTGATGGCCAGCATACCCTGATTTCGGTCGGGGTGTGTCATATTTTCCCTATTATTCTTTTCTTGAGGCTAAACGGGGTGACCGTGCATCTTGGTTGTGGTCTAGTTTGTTGGTGGGTCGGGATTTGTTGTTGGATGAAGCGCATTGGTAGATTATAGGCAGCAGAGATGTTCGGGTTTGGGTGGATAAATGGCTTCCTTCTCTTCCTATGGGTCATCCTGTTCCACAAAGAAGAGTCTCGGTGTCGCGGAATCTACGTGTTGATACATTAATCTGTCTCTCTACCAAGTCCTGGGATATTAACTTCCTTATGGGTTTTTTATCTCAGAATAAGATGGCTGTAATTCATGATTTACAGATTGGGGACTTGTCAAAAGCTGATCGGCTTGTTTGGCCATATAATAAGTGTGGCAGATTTACAGTACAGTCTGGGTACCATTGGGAATTTCAAGAATGCTTAGTTCTGCGGGCTTGCCTCTTTCACCTTGTACCTCTCTTTCTCTCCTCGTGTATGGACATTTATTTGGAAGTTGAACACTCCCCAAAAAAATCGTCATTTCCTCTGGAGGGCTTTACACGGTGCCTTTCCGACGATGGCTAATTTGTTTCAGCGGAAATTTGCCCACTCACTGTTGGGTCCTATCCTATCATAACGCAGAGGAATCGATTGAACATCTTCTTCTGACATGTCCTTGGGTGGAAGCTTTCTGGTTTGGAGGTGCTCTAAATCTCAAGGTTCATAGGACAAATGTCTCGTCTTGGCGGCAATGAGTCGAAGATCTTCTTCATTCAGATCAGTAGGCTACTCAGGAGAGGAAGTGGCTTTTGGCTTATGTTGGTTTTCAAGTGTTGGTGCATATGGAAGACAAGGTGCAATTTTATCTTTAAGCATTCCACTATCAACGCGGCTCAAACCTTTTTTGTTGTTAATAATGATGTGGGAGTGTTTTTTGTGGCTCGTAGGATTGATTAGGCTCAACGGGAGGTGCTTGCGTCTGTCGAGGACTTGGAAACTCGTTGGTCCCTGCCTCATGCTCCTTTTGTTAAAATCAATGTGGATGCTAGTTGGGTTGAGTCTTCACATTTGAGATTTGTGAGTTTGGTGGCATGGGATAGTATATGGAAATTTTTGGCAGCTAGTAGACGGGCTATTGAGGTTTTGTGTGTTAGTCAAGCTGAGGCCTTGGCTTTTTTGCTTAATTGTGAACTGGGTATTTCTCAAGGGTTTACTTGTATATTTCTTGAATCGAATTCGTTGGAATTGGTTTCTTGTTTGAATGGTAAGTTGGAAGATGGCAGTTAGAGGGCGTATCCTATTTTGGCGCAAGTCCAGAAGTATAGGGATTCCTTTCAGGACTGCCACTGGTCTTAGACTCCTCAATCAGCCAACAAGGCGGCAGATTTGTTAGTGTCGCAGAAGTCTAAGGAGATGTGCGATGTTTTGTGGGTTGACCGACCCCTATCCTCCTTGGTTTTTGTCTTAAACTTTGATGGATTGCCTTGTCCCCAATAGGTGTTCTTGGCTTTCTGGGGAGTGACGCTTTGGCATGTGGTGCTGCGTCATTCTTTCTTGTAGCTTCCTACAAAGTTTGTTTCCCGTGTTCGGTTGTTGTTTGCTTGGTTTGGCTTTCTGTTTGTGTGGCTCCTTAGCCCTGGGATTGTTGTTCCAGTATTCCAAAAAAAAAAAAAAAATTGCTTGTTCAATTAAAAATTATCTTAATACACCTCACATATTTCTTCCATAATACCCTCACACCCCATATTCTTAATATGCACCTTACATTTTTTACATGCACCCCATATTTTCTATAGATCCCACCTTTCTCAAATCTTATAAAGCTTTCAATTCCACCATTAAAACCCATGTCGTCGGTTTTTAATATTTGATGATAATTTTAGATGTTTAATCCTTCATGTAATCTATGTGATCCCTAAAAGATGAATACAGGACATAAAAGCTTGAATAACGCATCACAAGATTAAGTAATTATCGATGTCGTCAAAATCACTAAAACAATTAAAAAAAAATGAAGACTTACCTCATCTGAAGCTTCCGAAACATCAATTTTGTGTTTTATTCGTCAAAAATAATTTTTCTCAATCAACATGTTTGTAGTTTCATTGATTAAGGTTTTGTTCAACAATGGAGGGTTGGAAGGGTTTTGACAGTTGAAGAGGATAAATAATATGTTAAAAGTGATTTGGAGTGTATATATAATTTTTATTTATTTTTCAACTTTATAAGGTCAAAATTGCTATTGCATAATAGGGTAAATAAATCATTTAATACTAAATTTTAATGTGGGATGCATTCAACATTTTGTGAGGTAAATTTTAATGTGGGATGCATTCAACATTTTGTGGGGTGCTAATATAACAAGCGTTAATTAATTAAAACGTGCAGTTATAGTCTTTTATTAACTTCGTTAAATTTTTTGTCAAATTAAGTTGTGGGACACGCACGAAACGTTGAATCAAAGGGAAAATATAGAAAATCAAATAAGAAAAATGTAATAATAATTAGAGTAATGGTTTCTTAATTTTAATCTAATTAAGGTAATAGTCTCTCAACCTTAATCAAATTAATTGTTAAAAGATCAATGATCATGAATTTTTAATTAAAAAATTATTTTTTTCAATTGAATTATAATTCAAGAAAAGGAAAAAGATTCGTCCAACAGGAAACGGCTTTTGCTTTGCTCCCATTAAAGGAAAGGTATCACCGGCCACGTCAATGTAACGCTTATCCTATCTACCAATGGTAATTGACAAAAATATCCTCATTTTATAAACCGTAACACAAAACACGAAGACCTAAATCGTAATTTCAGATGGACTCACGGTTGTTGTCGCTACCTTGTACGCACCGTTTCGCGTGGTATATGGCCTGGAATTCGTCGTCTCTCATAATTTTCATTCCGTTCTTTCCATGTCTTGCTAACGTTTAACCCTCCCATCGAGGGTTTTGAATTCCAATTCCGATTCCTCCTCTCCTTCTTTCTCAAATCTCAAAGGCTGTTGTGCGATTTGGAATCGGAACCCTAATTGTTGAGCCTTGGATCTAAAGAGTTCCAATGGCGAATCACGAGGAGGATGACCTCCGAATGGCACTACGGATGAGTATGCAGAATTCACCTCCGGATCCCAAGCGTAGCAAGCCCAGGGACGGACTCGCCGGAGCTCCGGCTGAAGAGCCGTCGGAAGTGAAGACCCGCAGACTTCAGCGAGAGCTGATGGCTGCTGCAGCTGAGAAGAGAATGCTGGTCGCCAAGAAGTCTTCGCCTTCGGCTTCACCTAGCAAGGTGTTGTCCGGGTCTGCGGGTTCCGGTTCGGGTTTGGCGCCAAAGGTGGTGACGAAAGATAAGGAATTGAGTTTGGAGCAAGTGAATTTGGGAAAGGGGTTGAGCGAAGAGGATGCAAAGCAGCTGTTTTCGATGGTTTTCGGGGCCGAGGTTACCAAGGGCATTCTTGCGCAGTGGAGTAATCAGGGTATAAGGTGTGTATTTTGATGGCTTTTCTTGTAAAGTTTATGGCTTTTCTTGTAAAGTTTGTATTTTGATGCACCAGTGGAACGGTTCATTTGGGATGGGGCTGGGAATTAGAAAAAGATTTGTCTTTGTAGGGAGTTGAGTTCACGTACAACATCTGACTTTCGAGTTTGTTATAATCTTGTAGACTGGTCTAGGGTTCTTGTTTTCTATGTTCAAAACATTTCATTTGCATTTTATATGCAAGTAAGCCGCAATATTCTTCTTAAAAGTAAGCAGCTATGTAAAAAAATTGATGACTTTAGCGGGTCTTTTAATCAGTGTCATAATGCAGAAACATAGCAAGAGAGACAGGTTATTGTTTCATTCACAAAGGTAGTTTAATTACTTAGTGCTTGCGCTAAGGGCTAGGGTTGCTTTCTCTGTTGGTTGAATTTGCCACTAGGTGGAATCAGACCGGATAAGCCTTAAAAACACACACAACACTGGCTGGACACAAACAAAAGAAACAAGAAAAGTGTCATGATTAGAAAGAACCAAAACATCAAAGGTGAGAATCCCTGAAGGTAAAGCCAGAAGGGAGTAAATGTGGAATGTGATGTATCAGGTATAGGGGTGGGAGCTGTGTTGTCGTGAAAGGGTCACCCCATAGAGGTTATTAATTTATCATAAAAACTGTATTAACGAGAACAGAATGTTGTACTGCCAGAGTATTTATTATAAAATCTATTTAACATAATTCTAATGACACTAATTGACTCTTAATGAACAGCTACTTTGGAATCTTCCAAAATAGAAGAAAACAAAATATCCCAAAGCTCTGGACATTAAAGCCCAAAGTGAAGACCAAAATCTGACGTTTATCACAGTGAAACCTCTTCTCTCTGCGCACTGTGATTCTCCCAAATCCGTTTGTTACGCTCACTCTAAATTACCCTAAAAACTAGCAGACATTAACTCCATAAAGCTTTTTCCTTCTTTTAGCCATCCAAATCAGAGAAGCAGGTTGGAAAGTATGGAAAGAGATGGACTAACTCTTAAATACACCAAAGGACCAAAATTTTTACCTCCTATTCTTGGCTTTGTGTTGCATCCAGACTAAATGCCTAGAAGATTTATTATCTCCCAAAATGGGTATGTACTATCGGGTTGGGTGAATTGGACTTAATAATAAACGCCCTTTGGCATTCCAGCCTTCCTTTCTTGACCTTCCTGCACTGGGCAGGAATCAACTCCCATACATGGTCTCACGACTTTGCGGAGACTGTGCTTTTTGGTAAACAGTTGACCGGACCTATTCACTGCGACTCCCTTTGCGAAGGGACACCCCTTCTCCCGAAGTTACGGGGCAGTTTTCTTAGTCACCTTCTAGTATGTGATTTAGACGGTGGAGATCATGATATTCTGGGTTTTAACTCTAGATGCATATGATCCAGAGTTTCCGCCTTCTAGAAACTGTCCTACGATCTTCTCAAAAGAAAGAAAAATGTATATTTAGATGAAGATAATGACACATTCCCTTAGAAAAAAGATAGCAAAGAAGTGAAATCCCCAATTCTGATGGATTTAGGTTGTCTTTGATTGCTTTTGGCGGCATAATCCATCAAAGGAACTTGTTTCTCTCATTTACTTTTTCTTTGGAGACCATTCCACATATAACAAACGGGGTGGGAATGTGTAGGTTGATAAAAAGCTTAAGCTTAATTGTGATGATTGTTGTATAATGGTAAAAACTTGGTCGCCTTCACACATTTGTTACTTTTCCCTGAGGCACACATCACATGCTTATGCAATCTTTACCCACATAGCATGAAAAAGCTGACTTGGTTGTAGACTTTTAGTAAAGCTTTAAAGGATATGATGTGGCAGATTTACTATAGAAAAGTATGCATTCTTTCCAATCAGCTGGATATCTGGATCCATATTTGAAATAGAGTATGGGTGTTGGGCCATGGCATTGGTTATGTGTATGGTTGGACTCACGTTACACAGACAGAGATAGGAACTTAAGAATAAGGATATTAATACATCTTCATGAAATGTTTTATGGTTTTGCTGATAATTTAATAGGGGCATACATTGACAAAAACATGGCGATGCATTTCCGGAGTATTTGTCTATCATTTTTATCTTTACACTTCTTTGAAAGTTTAAAGGGCCCTCCAAGCTAACACTGAATGGATGGAAGTTTTTGTTCTTCTAGTTGTTCTTTGCTAGCTAGCAGAAACTCTATACTGGACCTTCAAAACTCAATTCACTGAAACTATGGCCCACCTCTTTGTTTTTAGTATGTCATTGGAATGATGATGGGAAGAAAAGAACAAAAACAAACAGAGAAAGGGATTATTGTTAGCCTTTTCAGGTTATGGAGATCAAAACCTTCATATCTGGTCATGCTCCTACTAATCCACATGTGCCGCAGTTAGTTTACTTTATACTTTATTCATCAGAAGACAATCAATTTAAATTTACTGAATCAACTCAACAGTTCTGTGTTGTTGTAGTTTTATGATTCTATGCTCAAAACTTAGGTTTCTTTGTGCATCATCCAATTATGCCACCATAATATATAAGTTATCGGAACCACTTCTGTAAGACACCAGTTATGGACATATTTAAATCACTTGTGGAAACTTTTGCCTGGTTAGAAATTTTGCCTCCATGTTTAACAAGTTTACTGAATTCTCTTCTCACTTTGAATTTCATCACATCCTTAATATGATCTCCATTGTTTACTGTTATTATCGTATTGAAAAATAAATTTGTGGTTGTTTCACTTGTTTGGCTAATTTAAAAAACTTTTTTTTATAGGTTTAGCCCTGATCCAGAAACATCTATGGGTCTAGTGCAGCATGAAGGTGGGCCCTGTGGCGTTTTAGCAGCCATTCAAGTAACTTCCTGATTTCTCAACATAATATGTTATGTGTTTCTTTTAATAATGTGGTGTTGCTCAAAATTCTCTTGCTTTGCAAATGCAATATCAAGGGCACCTTTTGTATTATGAAGAATATAACTCAATTTTCATGCTATTCTCATAAGAAAGTTTTTTCACTCCGCAATTTTATTGATGTGAGTGAAATTACAGTGGGAGGAAACAAAAAGATTGTGTTGAGCCTTCTATTCTTTTTTTTTTTCCTAATATCTATGTGTCATATGAAGAATTTTTCTTTTTTTAATATGTGATGTTTTTGAGACATGCTTCTGTCATTGTAATAAGATATGTGTCTTTGCCCCTACCCACCCCCTAGGTTTAATTGATGTTTCTTCAATTTATTAGTATTATTATTTAATATTTCTTGGTGCTTTTTAAAAAATGTTATTGACTTGACAGGCATTCCATGATTCTCTTTTAGTCTGGTAATAGTATTTACTGTTTGGTTGTGCAGGCATTTGTTCTCAAATACCTACTTTTCTACCCAGCTGAATTAGGTAAAGTTGCACCAAACATGCATCAAAATACGGGTTCAAGGACACCGTCTAATAGTCAGTGTGTTGCAACAAATAATTTTGCCTCTCTAACTGAAGATGCAAAAGCAAGGTGATTAATCATTGCATGGTAATTTATATGATGGTTGAACATGCTTATGCATTAAGTTATTCATATTGTAATTAGCACAAGCCACAGACACTTCCTGTACATCCATTCTGGTTAACTCATTTCTGTTGCACATTATTGAGTTGTAAGCACACACGGCAAACTTTTCCCTCCTTAGTAAACATACACTAATTTCACTGGAAAAATATTGTTTAACTTATGGTTCTACATAAAGTATAAGGAGAAATCAGAGCATTTTTATAGGATGTGCAAAAATGTTTTTCAGTTGTTTTTATGTGCAAGGCTAATGACTAGTAAGTCTTACTTTTTGTAACCACTTTACCTTTGTATGTTAAACTTTTGTAAGATTTACTATCTCTTGCGCTCTTCAGAAATTGTTTTACGCTTTCACATTATACCTTGACTTTTTACGTGCAAGGCTTCTGCTTTTAGGATTATTATTTTCTTTTCTCTGAAATTGGCACAAATATGTATTTTTTTTTCTTTCTATTTGGCATAGTATTGGATAAAGAGGTATTCGTAAAGACTAAGAGATACAGAATCTCACCCAAAAGACGAGATCCAGAAGCCCTAAGCGCTGCCCAAAACTTGAACTACTTCCACACCTCCTCCACTTCCATCCCCCCAACATCTTCAAAGATCCGCTGATTCCTTTCTGACCAAATAGCCTTAATAATAGCCAACCCCAAACAACCCATGTATTGATTAGCCTTCCTTCCACCACCCAATAATTAACTTCTCAGCAAACAAACAAAACAGTCTTTTGTCGCCAACCAATAAACTTTACTCTGGTTAATAAAAAGCACCCTGACTTACAACTAAAAGGGCAAGATAAGAAAACATGATCCACTCTCTCCCCCAAGCTCTTGCATAAATACACCAATCTGGGCATAAAAAGGATCCCAGCCCATGTCCTTGGAGCAAATTGCTGGTGTTAACCTTCCCATGTACCACCAACTGAGCCAAAAACCATAACCTTGAGTGAAACCTTATATTTCCAAATCATGCTGAAAGGAAGAAAAAGACGACTGCCTGATATGTGTCTCAACCCGGTTTGAAATAGGATTATAAGAAAATTTTCATGAAAGTTCTAAGCACCATCTTCTTGCATCCTCGCTGTATGAAAATTATTTGACCCTATGTTGATTCATGTTGGTAATTTGATAATATTTTTCATGATTGATTAAGTTGACTCATGGGAATTCATGTTGCTGAAACCAACACTTCGTCCTTTTGACAGAGTACTTATTAGAAGTATGGGTGAGATATTGTTCTTATGTGGAAGCAACAAAAGGGCGGTGATTGCGACTTTGAGTGTTATTGGAGAAGAAACTGAGAGGTCTGAGGACAGACTGAATGATGAAGTAAGTGAACTGGAGCTAGTGATTCATGCACTTATTTTTTTTCTTTTCTCCTGACAAGAATAATGTATGATGCACTTGCAGAATATTCATATGGATTTGGTTTGAATTAAGCTTTGAGCCTTTATATTTCTGCTTTGACAGGTAATAACCAAGTCACTTGAAGGTCTTTCAATCGAATCGGCTGCTGATTTGCATAAAGTGCTAAGAGTTAGCATATACACAACACAAGAAAGTGCATTTCAGAGGCTCCAAGCAGTGCTTCCTGCTTTTCAAAGTCGTATGGGGGCACTGCTGTTCCTTATTTCTGCTTTACTTTCTCGTGGACTGGTATGGTTTTTAAGCTTGAAAGCTCTTTTGAACACTGTACACTTTAATTCAGTAATGCAGTGATATTTTTTTGTTAACTAAACTAATTTATTGAACTTACTCTACTGCAGGACTTAGTTCAATCTGATAGGGACGACCCCAGCCTACCCCTTGTCACTGCTCCGTTTGGCCATGCCTCACAGGTACGCATCCATATGAATGAGTTCCACTTTTGGCCCAGTGCTTCAGTACTTGATCCATTTGCTATTCTCTTTATGAACTTTGCATTAAAATTTCATTGTTCTGCCTTGTATGTTATGGAACAGGAAATTGTGAACTTATTGCTCTGCGGGCAGGCAGTCCCTAATGTTTTCGATGGAAAGATGGATTTGGGTGGTGGCATGTCTTTAAAAGGCATATCCAAAACTGTGGAAGTTGGATTCCTCACTCTGTTAGAATCCCTAAATTTCTGTAAGGTTGGTCAGTATTTGAAAAGTCCAAAATGGCCAATCTGGGTAGTTGGAAGCGAGTCTCACTATACAGTCCTTTTTTCTCTTGATACCACTGTCCAAGATGAGAATGAACTGGAAGGAAGGGAATCACAGATTCGGAAAGCTTTTGATGCACAAGATCAGAGCGGTGGCGGTGGTTTTATTAGTGTAGAAGGCTTTCATCAAGTCCTTAGGGAAACTAACGTAAAACTTCCTACTGAGAAGGTTGACCTCCTCTGCAGCACAGGATTTATTGTATGGAGCGAATTCTGGCAGGTCATTTTGGATTTGGACAAGAGCTTAGGAGGCCTAAAGGATTCAACTGGATTGATGGGTAAGAAGGTGTTTGATCTTTACCATTTTAATGGAATTGCAAAATCTGACCTAAATGGAAGCCAGACAAGCTCAGGAGGCGAGATTCCAGTTCAAAGACCTAGGCTCACAAAATTGAGGGTGTCGGTACCTCCAAGGTGGACTCCTGAAGAATACATGACAGATGTGGTAGTGACCTCAGCTTCTAGTGGTAATGAATCTGGAGGGAAAGTCACAGAAATTGCTAAGCCGGAGCCTGCTCAGCATGCACCTCTGGTGGACTGCATAAGAACTCGCTGGCCCCGTGCTGTCTGCAATTGGGTAGGTGACCCGCCTAGCATAGTCTGAGTTGTTTGAGAATCTTATTTGGGTATCGTTTGTCGTACTTTCATTGCTGAAGCAGGAGAACTAATATTGCAAGCCAAAAGGATGAGCTTGTGGTGTGAAGTGCCACCCTTAAGATACAAAGAGTGTTCATCTAACGTTTTCGTCAGTCTCAATACGTGGACAGTGTCGATGGCGTCCTATGTACATGCTGCAGCTTCAGCAATCAATTCGATCTTTGATTCGTCAACATATTGAACGGAGGGGGAAAAAGATCTTGTGCAAGTTTATTGTCTATTCAAATTGTAAAATTCATCTATATAATCACCTTTGTTGTGGAGTCGAGGAGCTATCAGTTCCTGGGAAGGACTTCAATAAACAAACATCGAGTCTGTCTCGTCGTCGAAATTATTGTAATGATTTTTACTGCATTACAGCTGTTATACAGTAGCAAGTTTTCCTGGTCTTGATGTGTTACATATGTAATCCCTTCTCCCTGAACCTTGTTGCAAGGTTAAAAGCTATAAGCTTCTTTTTTATTTCCGATTTTTACAATTTTGCCTATCAAAGTTCTACACTGCTTACAGAATAGCACATATGCATAAATAGCATTAATTATCTGGATTTGGCTACCGTACATGTATGTATTTAATGCATTCACCATCGACTGGTTATATCATATATGAACATATCTAACCGTTAGATAGTGAACGTATGCATGGAGTTTCAGCTAAAACATAACTGCAGCCATACTACATAATTCAAACCTTGTCCTTAACAGTCAGTGGCTCGACATTCCTCACGTTTGAGATTTTGGCATCTTTGTACTACCGTACTGTCCCAATCCTATTAATATCATCTCAATTTTGCACCTACAGCCCACGCTCTGTTACAATCATGGCACTTACGTGTGTCTTTCCTGAGATCCCCATGATTGAAGTAACGAAACGTTGTCTTCCTTGCGAGCCTCCTCTGCAGATAATGTAACGAAGTAATTAAACAAACTAAATCATCAAAAACAAAACAGTTTAGCCAAATCAGATTGACAAAAAGACAACTTTTTCAGTCCTGGTTGTGGAATAAAGTTGCATGAGCATCATATTTTCCTGACAACATATTCAGATCAAACAAGTCACATTAACTGACTACAAACAAACCATAGATTAATGAAGAGGAATAAAGGAAAAGAAGGAATACTTACATCATGAATATTTTGAGCCACTTTAGCTGAAGGAACCAACTTGATCCGCATTCGATTCCTCCGCTTTCTTACATGTTTTCTTCTTTTCTGGCATCGAATTCCAGGCCGAAGTTCTCAGTCGTTTTCAGCAAGCAATGCATAATCTTAGAAAAAAGCCCAGAAATTGAAGTCCTTTTTAACATAACAAAGCATAATATTACGTACAGCCCAAAACTTCCAGTCTTTTCTCAGAAAAACACAGCAGCATACTCTTACCAAAAAAAACCCGGAAGTTTAGGTACCCTTCAAGTAAAAAAAGCTAACTTTACGTAAAGCGAAAAAGTTTCAGTATTTTTTCAGATAGCAAAAGCATAATCTCACAAAAAGGCCGAAAATTTTCACTCATTTTTTGAAAGGGTGGTGCTATCCACACATCCCTGTTTACCTTCCGCACATTCTTCTTAACTTTCGAATGGTTCAAAGAATTGAAGATGATCAAATGACAGAAATTAACAAGATTGTGTGGAAGATATAAAGAGGTGTGTGGATAGCACCATCATTTCTAAAACCAAAGCATGAATTACAAAAAAATAAGACCAAAAGCTTCAGTTACAATCCCTCATATAATTCAGCAATCAAACAGTGCAATGCACCTAGTTTATGTTTACAAATTTTATCATATAAAAACAAAAAAAGCAAAAATCCAAACTGAAATTCTTTACAAGAAATTATAATTGCAGGCAGCAAATGTAATGCATCAATCTGGTCTTTCATGTAAACCCTAACAGAAAAAATCTAACCCGTAAACCCTAAAAAGATTTGATACTTTTAGTACCATAACAGAAATTATACTTGTCTTGGTTCGAGCGTAAATGCTCTACTTACCACATTTTTTGTACCATATCATGTTTAATTTAATGTAAATAATGTCGTTTGTTAAAAAAATTATCCATACCCAAAACTGAAAATGACAAAAGCACTTGGTAAATTTTTTTTAATGAAAATGACAACATCCATGTGATCAAAACCCAACAAGCTGGGCCTTGGTTTTGGTTGTTGTTGCCTGTTGGGGGTACTGTTTATTTTATACTTAATGGTTAAGAATTATTCATTAGGCGTTTTTTATTAAATTTTTGTTTTGTGAGAAATTTTTTATTCAAAATTCCCTTAAAATTTACCCAATTATTGTTAATTAACTTTCTTGTCAGATCACCTATCATTTGGTGAGTTTGATGGTACGATGTGATAAATTAACACAACGATCTTGTTTGACACATCGTATAAAGAAACGGATAGGATTAATAGTATCAAGCCAGTTGTTTGGTGCAATTTCATATTAAATAGTCGGCAGACCAATTATTTGGACTCACTTATTTTATTCGGTCTATAATTAGTCGGCTTCTTTGTCTCTCTCTTCGTTCCTCGTTCTTCTTTCCTTCTAACCAACCAACCATCGCAGCAATCGGAGTGATTCCTCTAAGAAACGTAATATAGTAGAATGGTTTTTCTTGTATTCACCGAAAGCTAGGGTTACAAGATATATAGGAAACATGTACATTCCTGATCCTAAACTAATGCCTACAATCAAGGAAAACAAACCATAACAGGTAAGCAAATAACTAATTTACAGATTTACAATATTTACTATAATTAATCTGAGATATCTTCTTTAACAATCCCCCTCAAGTTGGAGTGTATGTTAATAACACCCAACTTGCTGAGCAATGTTTCAAATTGTGTAGAACTCAATGGTTTGGTGAAGATGTCTGCTGGTTGGTCAGTTGTTCGTGTGTATGCCATACGAATCAGTCCTCCTTAAATCTTCTCTCTTACCAAATGACAACCAATCTCTATATGCTTTGTCCTTTCATGAAATACCGGGTTCAAAGCAATGTATATGGCTGCTTGGTTGTCACAAAACAACATGACTGGTTGTGAATGAATCACCTTTAAATCTCTTAAAATGTTCTTTAACCATGTGATCTCATAACATGTGGCTGCCATGGAACGATACTCGGCTTCTGCACTGGAACGAGAGACAATGGTTTGCTTATTTGTTTTCCAGGATATCGGTGCTTGACCAAGTTGAATATAGTAACCTGTTATCAATCTTCTTGTGTCTTTGCATCTAGCCCAGTCAGCGTCACAAAATGCCCTTAACTGCAAGGATCCCTTGAATGGCAAAAATATGCCTTGTCCCGGTGCACTCTTGATGTATTTGAGAACTTTGTGTGCCACCTCAAGGTGTGGTTGTCAAGGCTTTTCCATAAACTGATTTAACATGTGCACATCATAGGCTAAGTCCGACCTTGTTATGGTCAGGTAGATCAGCCTACCCACAAGTCTCCTATATGATGAAGCATCAACCAGAAGTTCTCCTTCTGCCTGTGTAAGAGAAACATTTTGCTCCATAGGGAATCGTGAAGGTTTGGCACCCAAAAATCCCACATCATCTAATATATCCAATGCATATTTCTGTTGGCACAAGGTGATGCCATTTTTGGACCGTGCAACCTCTATCCCCAAGAAATATTTAAGTCAATTTGAATTGTTGCGAGAGAAACTGCTTCATTGCTTCAATTTCTTGGAGATTATTTCCTGCTAGAATCACATCATCAACGTATACCAACAAAGCAATGAAGTTACCTTGCTGACTTCGGACGAACAAGGAATAATCAGACCATGATTAATGAAATCCGGCAGCCTTGAGAGCGGTGGAAAGTTTGATGAACCATTGTCTTGAGGCTTGCTTTAAACCATATAAGGATTTGTGTAGCTTACATACACGAGTCTCCCACTTCCTCGTCAAGATCACCATGCAAGAAAGCGTTGTTGACATCGAGTTGGTGCAAATGCCACTGACGCACAGCAGCAACACTAAGGAGCACACGAACAGTGGTTAACTTGGCAATCGGAGCAAAGGTTTCACGATAGTCAACCCCTTCTATTTGGCTATAGCCCTTGGCAACTAACCGGGCTTTGTAATGCTCGATGGTCCCATCAGGTTTAAGCTTGACCTTGTACACCCATTTGCAGCCAATCGGCTTTTTGTGATGGGGAAGTGGAACGAGAGACCAAGTATTGTTGGCCTGAAGAGCATCAATTTCGTGTTGCATGGCAGCACGCCATTGTGGATGGTGGACAACCTGCAGAAAAGTGGTAGGCTTTCGGATGGTGATGACGTTAGTGACAAAATGTTTATGCATGGGAGAAAGGCGATGGTAAGATAGGTAATGAGACAGAGGGTGAGAATTACCTGAAGACTGAACTAGATTCGAGGAAGAAGTAGGTCGAGACGGGAAAGAAGTCTAGACGTGGAACTCCTGCAAGAAAGATGAGGGTTTGGTAGGGCGTGTGCCACAACGAGGGTGGCGGTGGTGCAGCAGAACATTGAGCAGGAGGGGAAGGCGGAGGTGATGGTGATGGTGATGGAGAAGGTAAGGAAGGTGAAAGGGTCTCAACGGGTAAATGAGGTGGAATGGTGACAAGGGCAGAGCCTACTTCAGGAGAGGGTTCTATGGTAGGTGAATGAAAGAGAGTAGGGGATGGATCAAACGATGGCAAATAGTATTCTATGGGAGGTGGAGTAAGACTGGTAGTGGCAGCAGCGGAAGTATGGGATAATTGATAAGGAAAATGGTCTTCGAAAAAGGTGACATCTCGTGACACAAAAATCTTTTTAAGTGTGAGATCAAACAAGTGGTAACCCTTTTGACCATAAGGGTACCTAAAGAAAAGATATCGTCGTGCATGAGGATCAAATTTAGAAGGTTTTTGTGCATGGGTTGATGCAAAACATAAGCATCCAAAAACACGTAAATGCATGTAACTTGGTGCCTTGTGAAACAATTTGTGATATGGTGTTTGCCTTTGAAGAAGAGGTGTGGGTGTACGATTGATAAGATAGGCCGAAGTGAGAATGGCATCCCCCCAAAAATGCTTAGGAAGATTGGCTTGGAAAAGAAGGGCTCGAGCAACATTTAACAGGTGTCTGTGTTTGCGTTCAACAACACTATTTTGTTGTGGTGTGTTGACACAACTGGTTTGGTGAAGAATCCCATTGAGTTTGTAAAATGCGGCAAGTTTGAACTCCAGACCATTATCACTTCGAATCACCTTAACTGTTGTGTTGAATTGATTCTCAATCATGTGAATAAATTGAACAAGAAGATCTTGTGTGTCAGATTTGTGTTTCATCAAATAAACCCAAGTGCACCTTGTGTAATCATCAATAATGGTGAGAAAATATTTTGCACCTGAGAGGGAAGGAACTTGATAACCACCCCAAATGTCAATATGTATTAATTCAAAACATGAACGAGTAGATATAGAACTCAAGGGAAAAGACATTCTGGTTTG